CTACATAGATAGGAATAAATAAATATATATAACAAATGATCAGAATCACGGAAACAAAGGTGTTCTGCTGTTGAGTATATATAAGTTGCCTCGTGGAAGTCCCAAAAGGATAGCTCACCAGAGTGCAGGGACCCAGGTGCTCTCTCAATTCTTGTCACTGCAGGTTTGTTGTCCCAGGAACTTCTTATCGGCAGATGTAGCTATGGCACCGTCTGTGGGCACCTTTAAGCGAAGGCTGAACGATCGCGCGGACACGCAAGGACTGAATCCAGATTCCCTGTCGCCTTAAAATCGCACACAGATAATGAGTAGACATTTAAATTCATCGTTTTACTTCCTTACATTCTCTCCTGTTTTACTCTCCCGACTACTCCAGCCACTTCACTTGCACTTATTATTATATACTTATATATGACTTTATACATCAATTTAAAATCTGATTAACCGTCTGTTTTTACGCTTTCTTCATTTCACTTTCTGTCCATAAGTCTTTACGAGTTGATCGTGGGTTGACATCATTTAGAGAACCATTGAAAACAAGCAAGTAGTGAACAGCTGTTTCAGCCCAGTTTGGGAATCATCGTCAGTAAGAACCCACTGGTGTTCGAACCCAGGACCTTCCGGTTACAAGCAACCTCGGGTATCACTTAGCCACTGGGATCCGAATAAATGGCCGATGAATTCTAACTTCTACCAATTCGTGATTTGGCGCGACCACTACCCAATGTCATGTGAGGGAAATCTGTCATCACACTTGACTGGATGGACCTTACTGGTCACCACTGGTCATCATTAGAACTCCAGGAAACTCCGTGCTATAGCAGGTCACTAGCGAGCACCAGATTAATTTTCAAGGGTTGGTTTGTAAGCATCACTTTTGTTTTTACGAGTTGATCAAGGGTTGATATCAGTTAGAGGACCATTGGAAACGGGGCAGTCTGCACACGATAAATCGGGGTGCGACTTATGTACCCAGAGGAGAGAGACGGCTTAGGGAAGCACCCGAATGCTCTTACATACCAATTTACCAGCAGCAAAACTTCTTCTGCATACTCTTAACATAGTATGACAGGCCTTCACCGAAATGAGCAACTGCTTTAGTCTAACCATTATCCAAACGCCCTTTCCGCAAAGGTAAGGACTGTAGGGACATAGCATCCAACTGGTCCAGCTGACCGAGATATTGCGATACGCCTGCCAGGCCAATACGTTTGGGCAGCAACCGCTGGTTAGGACAAGTCCTCACTGGATCGATAATCTAGGGAAAAGTCCTCAGAGAGTTAAACTAGTAACAGGCTCCAGAGGAGAAACTACACCTATTTTGCAGCCCTATAATGGTAAACTCCGTTAGGGATAAATCCCGCAGAGCTCTTCCAGTAATGTTTCTAAGCTTGGTTGGTTTGGTTTACACAAACCCATCTTTATTTCTGAGATAGCTTAATATACGAATCGAGCTTTCAGAGTCAGTCGTTGTGTAGTCGTTTCAGGGACGGCTTCAGTTGCCCCACTTTGTGAACTTTCCGGGAGCAGACGTTTAGGACGTCTAATTACGGCTGTTATATGATTTTGCTGAATCGAAATTCGTATGACCATCCAGAATCCTACTTAGATTTTTAAGGACATAAGTAATCTGTGTGATGTTGGACTGTACCGTTTGTTTTGAGGGATAACGGTCATTATCCCCTTCCTAGACATTCAGATGTCTGTTAAATTCGTTGCTAAGGGCGTCCAACCTCCATCAGCTGCTCACTAGTACACCGCCCAGATTTCTAACGGCGTGTACTCCCTGGATAGTTTGTCTTCTAAGCAACGAATCAGTAGAGACTTTTGGAAATGATTAACAGTCTCTTGAAATATCCTCGCTATCCCAAACCAAGCATTTTACGTACTTTTTATGGTTTAGTACGCGGTGTAACTTGATTCTTTCTTCAGGTTTCTACGTTTTTCCCGTACCTTTCTTTCGTTGCAATAATGATGACTGCTGTAACTGCTGTGTTCTTAATTATAATTTCCATACGTATGAAGTCGTTGATGACTTTCTGAATAAAATCCTCAACCTACTCCAAGTGCTTGTCCACCTCTTGGGAATGGTACTGTCATGGACAAGACACTAACATTAGCGCTCTCTTTACCTGTGCAAAGCTTTCTTAGAAGCTTAGACGGCACGTAGTATAGCTGAAATTTGTAAATTTCTCCTTACAAACAAGGTGAAACACCACAATTCCACGATCACTGATTCCTAATCGTACATTGTATTCAAGGAGGAGGATACTGGTATGTAGGTGATGTAGCTTGAATGGTGTACCACGCAACCGCATAAATACCATGGTAAATGATCTTTCTGGGACCGTATTCAGCAGTTTTCTCGCGAAAAACAACCTCTACGTAAGTACACGTGCACGTAAGCAAGTTTGTATGGGTTACTATTGTTACTAAAACTCCCCTGGGTCCCGACTGAAAGGTGGGCCTTCAGCGGAACATTTCCATGCCGCTCTGTTGGAAAAACTCCCTGTCTCTGCGACTGGCTACAAGCTTTCGTGAAATTATCATACAATTTACTTCGTATAATTCTCACACTATCTAATCTTTCCCTTTCGGTTTCTAGCAAAGAGCTATATATATATGGTCTCACTGACGATCGCCTGATCCATCCCCACTCCCTTCCAAATACTGTTTGGGAAATAGGCCTATCAATTTAGTTCAAGATTGAAAGATCAATTCACGGTTGTCTGCTCAAACCCAACTTCCCCATAATTTTCGCAAGTGATCAAACTGCCAGTCATCGTCTCATCGGTCGCCGTTCAGAAAGAGGATCAAAAACTGTCAGAAGTAATATCGTGATTTATTGTTGTAATATTTGTCCATAGACCTTATTTATTGTGCTGCTTATATGTTGGTGTTAGAAAAAGGAATTCTCGAGTCGCCAATTGGTGTTCTGGTTTTTGCATCCATTGGTACCAAGCGTTTCTGAAAGGCTTCGAGGGACAGTGAGAGGCCTGGAGTAGCAAGAGCTGGCCATTAACTGTTTTTGAGACGTGATTTGCATGGCTACTGATTGGTTTGTAGGCAGGTTTCTTTAACTGATCGGTCATTTGATATTCATTGTCAAATTTATGAAGGCTGCATTGGTGGAATTCTGCAGCCTTTTGGAATTTCTTTAAGCAGCAGACGCACCAATTTTCTTAACTATATGAAGCATATTGATGCTTGTGATGAGTGCTGTGGATTTGTATGCTTATCTCAGAATGGTGCAGGTATCTTTTGCTTTTCTGATTCCGGCTGGTTTTGAAATCCCACCTCGTACCTCTTGGAAGTGTTTCAAACGATTCCACTGAGATACGCAGGAGATACGACCTCCCTTAAATTCCTCCCGCAGATGGCAATTGTGGTTTGTTGTAGGTTAGATACCTCAATCACCTTTGTTTTCTGAATATTTACTTGAAGTCTTCTATTAGCTGACTCTACTGTCATTTGTTAGTCTTCTCCAGTTCTTCGAATTTGTTTGAAGTGAGTAACAAATCACCAGAGAAACCAGGCCTCCTACAGTCATTATACCATCACAACACATGTGCACCACTTCTCGCCCCCGAAGTTCTGCTAAACGCTTCAGTCTGCCACTATCAGAAATATGAGGAGTGATAGTAGGTAGTTCTGTCTAACTCGTGTCTTCGACTCAGTTTCTCACATAAGACTTCTCATAAGAGGGGGAAGTTTTAGAAGCAAATGAAAACTCCTGTCAAAATATTTATCCGAAATACTGATAGATAGTATTTACAAAAAGGCAAGACAGTAGTTGATGTTGAAATGGATTTTATCAACCAGTCAAACCAATTATAACGTGCGAAAAGGCATTCGACGTTCAATAAGGTCCGGCAAAGAAAGGAAACCCAAAAATCCATAGGGAAGGAATGGTGCCCAATCGGTTACTCGTCCATTTATTTTGTATTCTTCAACCCCTAACCTACTAAGCCATGTGGGGCATAGAAACCTTACATATGGCCTGTTAATCTGAATCGGTGGACTGTGGATCAACTGAAAACAGCCAATGTTGTGTCACATGGTCTTCTCTTGTGTATTCAGCATATTATCCAGGTTCAAAATACCCGTATTGTTCGGCACTTGATGCGACCTAAAATATGTGGAGAGCTTGGAGAATACAGTGACCTGCTCACGCTGCTAACTGACCTAATTAATCTACAAGATTTTTAGAGGAGTGTATATTCACCGAAAACCCAGCGAAGCGCGCAACCAGGCACATCGAAAACGTAGTTGTCAGAGCATACGACGTAGCTTCAGATCTTTATGTGCAATACACACGATCATTGTTGGAAGCACCAGTGAAATGTTCACCGAATTACACAGGTGCCTGGTGAGGTCAAAAAAAGAAAAATGCATCCAGGTGACCCGCTTCTGCACGAAAATTGAGAGGGCTTAAAGTAAGGTCAAATACGAATTTCTTGGGACAATCGGTTTTTCAAATCAGGGACAATCTAAGGCTCTTCTCACTATAGTGTAAGCAGATCACGTCACGATGTTGAAAATTTTGAGAGGTTGCCACTAACTCTCAGGATTTTATCCCTACCTTTCTTTCACTTGAGGGTATGACAGTTTTTACAACGGAAGAGTCCAGAGGAGTGAGTAATTTCATCGTAGTGGTTGTCCCAGCGGGTTGCTTACTATCAGAACGAACTTCTAGAGGAAGTGATATCTGCGCCCACAATTAACTCGTTCAAGAAGAGATTAAACAGACGTAGATAATGATTAGAAAGGGATTGACATCGCCTCGAAAATGGCTATCTTCAAGAACTCTTCAATTTGTATTATATACTTTATTAATGTTGTTTGAAACACCGAAGGTAAGTTAACTCAGTATCGGTAATGTAACACCTATAAAACAACAGGCATTATATAATAATAACAAGTGTTTGGGAAGTCGAAATTTCTACTCAGTGTTTGAATGAGCAAAGGTTAAGCGGTAGGTTTTAATTTCGGTCCACATTATGCCTGATCCGAGAACCAATCAATTTAAAGCTGTAAGTGCTTTATTTCTTTTGAAAGTCTCATGTTTTGTCGCTATCCTTGGTCTCTAGTAATCGCGTGTCTGGTTATACTTTTCAGAATGTCAACCCAGAGACTATTTATGATATTCTTGAACGGATAGGCAGAGGTTCTTTTGGCGAAGTTTATAAGGGTGTCGACAGAAAAACGAGGGAAGTTGTAGCCATCAAGCTGATTGATCTAGAGGCCGCTGAGGACGAAATTGAAGATATTCAGCAGGAGATCAAGGTTTTATCCCAATGCAACAGTCCTTATATCACGAAGTACCATGGTTCCTATTTAAAGGATACTACACTGTGGATCGTTATGGAGTATCTTGGTGGTGGATCAGCATTGGACTTGATGAAACCTGGCCCCATACCAGAAGTTCACATATCTACAATTCTCAGAGAAATTTTAAAAGGGCTGGATTACTTACACAGTCAGAGTAAAATCCATCGAGACATAAAAGGTTTGTGGCCTGGTACTATTTATTCCTGAAATGAAAACCTTTTAAGTGTGCAGGTAACCACGGATTTTATGTGAATAGCCATGTAGTCACTATGACACTTTTGTTTCCGATTACCTGACCTCTAGTCTAGGTTATGGGTGTAAACTCCCATACTAATAAGTGATAAATTCGCTGACGGTCAACATGATATGTGATGTGTAGCGTAATGCATGTTGGACTGCTGTGACTCGAATTATGATAAAATCTGTGTAATTATGTATTATTAAAGTGGTACACAAGGGCTGACACAAATAGTTCCTCGTCCCCCTTTTTACACATGTCTTAGATTCAGTCCTTTATAACACAGGTAGGACGTTCCCTCCTTTCTTTCGTCTCACGTTACCGCATTAACTTTAAAACAATAAAAGGTGGGATTTATTGGATTCCAACGTTCTCAATAGGGCTCGATGTGCTGTCCTACTTGCTCGGCTTTTGTATTCTTTAGTGTGTGTAGGAATTTATACAAAATGTAGGTTGGAGTAGTTTTTGTGAAGTTTATGCAAATAAGACTGAATCGGTTATAAAGCAGAGGTACCCCACCTAAGTGAACAATGGAAATTGAGAATGGCGTGGTTTCTTTTGAATATAACTGTCGAAGAACTCATGAATCTTTCTTATAGGTTTATTAATATTATCATGTCTGGTGCTTAAAGAAGGATATCAAACATTTTCTATGCTTCTAAATTTGTTCTCTTAATAGGTATTAGTTAGATGGTCCAGAGATCGTAAGTAACAAAGCCACTTGTCAATACTTCCAACTATCAGTTGGATTGTACTAGTCGAAGATACATTTTTACGAAAAAATACGTCTTCATAATTGAATATTTATGTAAGTTACGAAGGCTTGTTAAGGGAATAAGTTAAGGGTTTATTAATGAAACACCTAATTGAATATAGTGACCACATCGATTCTGTTGCAGTCATCGGGAAAAATTCTCGAAATCACAGCATCGTTCGCAGCTGGATTCCTCAAGCCTAGTCAGCGTGTGGAATGCATGTTGGAGCATTACTGTTATATTATTAGGCCTTTGTTATTGAATAGAAAACAGTCCTTCAGTAAAAAATATTGTGACATTGTCTAGTCAAATCAAAGATAATTAGTTATCCTGAAGTATGTTATATATATATATATGAATTTAGTTCATCGTGGAAAATCAGGGTCAGCAAAATTAAGAAATAAGATGTTACGTAAGCAGTTGTCTGAAGTCACTAACAATCACATTCCAATTATTGCTATTAACAGTATTTTTGTGTTCCACTCAGAGGCCGGACGTGTGATGCAACCCGAATGTCTCAGCATATCTCCATCTTCGTTTTCTTCTGCATACTTGTAGATCATGCAAAAACACTGATTTAACGAATCTTATCCCTTTTAGTGAGAACTGTAGATCTTTACACTGATTTCAGAGTAATTTCTGTCCTATCCTCCCAGTCTTAAGTGACTTCTACTTCATCCGTGCCACCTGCATGTAGTTGAGATGACATTACTCAGTTAAGTGAGACTACTTTGTTTAAGTTTCTACCATTGATAGTGCTTGTTGTTCCTGTTTGGGTATTTGCGTCACTGTCGTCTTCATGTTTACGTAAAGTCCTGTCTTGAAAGCCCTTTTTGTTAACTTGTTGGTTTTCGCTTGTAATTCATCTGCTAAACTGAGATGTAAGGTCTTTTGATCAGTCCAATGTATGCACATCCCATTAACGGTCTACGGCATGATCTGGTGCACCACCGTTAGGAAGATAATTGATGACAGTGGGCAGCCTTATCTACATCTGTGTTCACTTCAAACGCTTCACTGAGTTTTCCCTTGTGAATCACTTAGCATGTTTCAATGATATGGCTGTTGAATAGGGTTTATAGTGATTCGCACCAATGCGCAGTGTAATGTTTAGGCAGTTTGTAATTAGCTTCAAGGTTGATGAAATCAAGCTACATAGTTCGCTGTCAGTCTAGGCTCTTTTGTGTAATTATGCGTAGGGTTGCAATTCGGCATTCACATGATATTCTTCTCGTAAGTCCAACATGCTTCTGACGGGGTTTTGTATTCGCAGCTTCTCTAATCTCTTCAGGATATTGCGGCCTAATAATCTGCTTGAACTGGACAGGAAAGTAATGGAACACCAGTTCTTGCAAAGACCATACTACCTTTGATAGTTTCACAAGGTACCTCCCCTCCCCTCCAAACGTTCTGAAGTAGTAGTTTGCAATGTTCCTGGAGGATTTCTGTCTGGTCCTGCTGTCTTTCATCAACTTTATGGCATCTACAAATTGATTTTGTTGGAGGATTGGTGTTCTGTGGCTGTTGGTTTGTCTGGAGAGTCTGCTGGTAGTGGCCGATTCGAATCATGAAGCGATCAGCTCAGAGTTAGTTTTGCCTCTCCTTCTCGGTAAATAGCTTTCCTTCACAACCTTTCACTAGTTCCATCTGCTGTGATCTATTCTGGGGGTAGTAACATGATTATTTGATGAAGTTTTATAAGCTCTCTCTTACCTGTAGCCTACTCTTCTTCAATAAGGGCGTGTTTCGTCTTTCCTAGTACTCTTCACTCCCTTGCTAAGTGCACCGTAGGTTGTCGTCAGCTTCTTCCATTGCTCATACTTGTACTGGTTCATTCTGTGATTCACCATCCTTGTTCCTTGAATCATCTTCCACATGTCTGTAGTAAACCACTCATTGTTCTGTCTCTTCTTGCTTGAGACGGCTATGCAGTTCTAGTGTTCTTCCACTCAAGTACTCTTGACTATGTCTCTTACTGCTTCTGATCTTTTCCTGGTGACAGTAGTGAAGGTGTCCTTTGTTGTTGAGTTCTTCATTTTCTGAACGTTGAGCTTGAATTGTGGTCTATCACACGCTTTTCCGATGGCTCCTAACTTGGCCTTGAAACTACAGTGAACTAGATGGTAGTTTGAATTTACATTTGATCTCAGTCTTGTGTTCAATGGGTCTCCACTTTCTTCATGATTGAGATGAAGTCTATTCGATATTTGCTGTGTCTGTGTGATGAAATATACATTGCCTTGTGAATATCCTTGCTCCTGTGCACGATGCCTGCAATTATTAAATCACCAGGATGTAGATCTGTTTTCCCACTGGTTTCACCGAACACTTGTCCACTAGTTCACTTCCTGCATTGTCTACTCTCAGTTTGTCATCCATTTCACCCATCAAAATTTTGATGTCTCCATCTGACTGGTCTCGCAATTGTCTGCAGTAGTGGCCCTTCTCTTAGTCTACGTCGTTTGTAGGGGTTTGGTACTGTGTACTTGTAACTTCCCTTCCTCCGGAGTTGAATGTTGCTCTCATGATCTCGGAAGAGATTGTTTCCTACTGTATCAACTCCTTCAATGCTGTTAGTGGCATTATGATAACCGCACCGTTAGTGTGTTCATGGTTGTCGTCCAGGTGGTTGGAATAGACCCTCAACTTTCCACTTAACAATTCATGTAATTCCTAGTACTTCTATCTATCATCTCCTTTCTTCTACAACCTGAAAAGTCCTACCATCGAGCGTAGACACATCGGTTGACTGGCCTTCCGAAGCCTCTGACCATGTGGTGTTATTTATCCCCCTTTATTCTAGCTAGGAATAAGTTTATTTCCCTGTGAGTTGAGGATTCAGTAGCGATGGGGTTACTTTTTACCGGATGGTGTCACTAATCCCACGTCCTACCTCTTCTCTGCGCTTAGAACCAGCTATCAAACTAGACGAGCTAATTGCGTAGCAACATATATTAAAATGCGATGAGTAGAATCCAGAAGGTCGAATATATATGATTGTATTTAACTTCTTGTTGATGCCCAACTCAGTACAGTCGCTTTTTTCGGTTTTTCAATTTTCTATTAGCTGCAAATGTCCTGCTCTCCTATAGTGGTGACGTAAAGCTAGCCGACTTTGGTGTTGCTGGCCAATTGAGTTCTACCATTACTAAGCGTGGTACTTTTGTGGGAACACCATTTTGGATGGCACCAGAGTTAATTTTAAGATATGCCTATGATTTCAAAGTAAGCTGTTCGTAATTTTGTTTGTCAAGTTTCATTGAGTGATATACCTAAGTACAGAATTTTGAACTAGTCACCACAATATACTGAAGTGTTTGCCGTATGGTAATAATGATGATCTAAATAGCACTTCCAATATACAGACATTTTTGGTGTTATGGTTTCTATATTTTACTATATTTTATTAAAGATGAGCTTCCTTCGAATGTGAAATGGAATTACAAATTATAATTTTCCGTTGTTAATGAGAAATTTTTTTGAATAAAAATGTTTTAAAATCTTAATGATGTAAGATGGTTTTTAAAGTTAGGATGCTGAAAGATTGAACGTGTAACCAGTTCACTATAACAACGGATCTTAGTGCTGGTGAATAAGTAGCTGAGGTAACTCGTTCACTATGTTCTTCTTTGAAATTGTAGAATTTTGATTTCACCTCACTTATTTTTTATTTTCTAATCGTCTTTCGATTGCTAGTTTCTAAATATCTTTTTAATCTAGATTTCCTTTACTTTTTTGATCACTTGAATCACTGCATCTTGATAAAAGTTACAGGTGAATGAAATGCATCAAACCAGCGTAGATATACGTACTAGGCTATAGGACAAAATCACTGTATCCTGATATCCTTTTCCGTTCATTCAGGAGCAGGTGGAATATGGTTTCTACTCGATGGTGTCCGACCACTGAACCATCATATCTGTAGCGAAATTTCTGTTTTCTGTTCGTTTTTATATGCAATTATTCTACCTTTTGTATGGACTTTTCATGACATTTATATTAATTTTTTCCATATTTCCCTAATTTATTTCTTGATAGAAATTGATCATAGTTATCGGCTGTCTGCCAACGACGTTATAAAACTGTTAGATGACTTAGGGACAGTTACTGATACAAATTGTTGATGAGGTATCGTTCCTAAAACATCGTAATGACAAGAAATGTTAGTTTGTGTGCAGTATTGTTTATAGGAAGTATGTGTTTAATTACTACCGAACTAAATGTGTATATTACTATGTAAAGCTGAAAAATTGGATATTAAATCGACTCCTTTTAAACGAATATTCGGAATATTCTTATTGGACAACTACCTGTTTAACTAATTTTCTTGAGCAACATGGTCTCTTGGTAGGCTGTTACTTTCATGTTTCTCATGTCCTGGCACCATTGTCAATTATTTTGTATTTCAACACGGTTACTTTTAAGCCTTCATAGAAATTGGATTTTGATGTTGGTAGAGCTTCATGTGTTGTAGGAAGTACTTTCTTCGATGACTAATATTCAGTAAAATAAAATTAATCTCGAAAAGAGTCAAGTCTGGTCAGGTGGGAAAATGGTGCTGATCCGTAGAGTCACTGAATGTTGGTTTGGTACATACTAATTGCTTCACCAAGGCGAATAATAAGCGGCGGTTAACGTTACATATGTACTAAGGATCCAAGCAACAGCAGATAGCTAGTGAAAATAAAGATACTAATAAGTGTAAGGATAAGAAGAAATAAGAGGGTTCATATAAGCGAACAAAAATATGAATGAATGTATGATTCATGAAGTAGTAAGTGTGATAGGTTGTGAGAGTGTAGACTTTAGTTGGTTTTTTTATTGAGTTGTCGTCCAATACCCATTTGATTTCTGCAATATTTCTCGGACTCAGACCGAAGCACATTGTTATCTTTTCTCCTAAAGTGTGATGCACAAAGCAGCGGAACAATGTTAAGGTCAACCTTGTCATCTTTGTTGATAAATAAGACGGGTTCATACACCATTGTTTTTACATCCTAATGCCGATATTCACCTTAAGATTTTTCAACGCCTTTCACTGTTTTCACCCATCTATTGGTAAGTGCTGGACGTTTGCATTTGTCCTTTCTCTTTTGTAACAACGGCCGACACCACTTGAAAGCAGTGTTTTTGTACGCCTGGTTATCTGAGCGTATTGGATGAGAAGACTGGAGTCTATGAACTTCAGTTTTATCGGCTTATCCATGTGCGACATGTCATGATTTCGCTATGTAGTCACCCTTTATTATTCATTCTTATTAATTTTCACCGAATCGGTTGCATATGTTTTTCTGTCGCTTTGTCGTTTCGGTCCACTCATATTTTTGGTGGCTGTTTTAACCTGTTTCAACTAAGAGTAATGCAATCCTGGAGTGTGTCATCCACTCAGTCTTTTTATCACTCATCCTGAGATGTGTGTGTGTGGTGCGTATAAATAAATCTTTAAGGGATAGATTTTAAAATGCAAATCTTCCTGTCTAATGGAAAGCTAATCAAATTTACAAAGTTTATTGGTTTACAAAACATGCATCTGTGTTTAATCATCTGCCGGAAATTGAACTCTTGTTCATTTCATTCCCTACACTGACAAAATTCAGCTTCTTCTTTTCGGGCAATATCTCTATTCGTTGTTGTACATCTTCAACATTTGAAAACAACAAATAGTTTGTGTTTGTAGTAACAAACTAAATACTCATGATTTTCACACTATATATGCTTGAAAAAGTTAAAGCGATACCATTAAGGGACTTTTAGAACACCCCGAGTAAGTTAAAGTTTTAAAAATCTAGTCTGTTTGGTCTTGACTTCATTAAAAGTGCAGTGGATAAGTTGTACTGACTAGGTGTTCCATCGTGTTTTCTTTCCTTTGTTTCCTGCTCGTTAGGTAATGCACCAAAGGTAAAGGACTCTGATGTAAAGGTCGGCTAAATTGCTATCCGAGTATTCTTGTGAGCATGGTTCCAGGAGTTTTTGCAGTTTATAAGCTGTCAAACCAATCTAATCCACAGAGTGTTACATTATCATCAAATTGCTTGCTACCAGTATCTTGGATACGTGGGGACAGGTTCCGACTGTTGCCAGATACTGCTTTTTCCCTCCATTTTACATGTACTTTGTAACGACCAGACTTCGTGGTCCTCTCGTATTGTTTGATTTTATTCATACGAGCTCTACGCAGACTTGTCTATGTTGTCTAATGGACGTCAATCAATTACGTTGAATACAAAAATTAGCTTTACTGTCCATCCTAATGATGTGATATGTATCATGTACAATGAAATCCGGCGTTGACATTACTGTGTCTGTTACTGGTACTTGTTTACGGTCATTTAGTTGACAGTGAGATTCATGATATCCCTTAAAACCTACATATATAATATATCTTTTGAATCTGCGTGTTGTTCCATTCCTTTAGTTTCGATATGGATCAGTGGTGAGACGTTCCGATATTCGGATCCAACCTACTTCTTAGCCAGTGTGTACCAAGTTGTGTATGTTGCAAGTGACAGTTTTAAATGGAGCAGCCATGTTATGTGACTCGCTAACAAACAGCTACATAGCGGCTCTTGAAAGTCGTGACAGATCAGGAATTTAAGTAATGGCAAGTATTTTAATGGAACAAGGGGTTGAGTGTAAACATATTAGCAGTAAAACAAATTAGCTCATTTGTGGAATTAATAAAGATGGTTCAGTGATAATGATAGTAATTTTGTTGCCTGAATAAAAGAATTGCGACTGGTCGATTTCGAGTTGTGCCTTTGTTGTTTGTGTGAGTGGTGCGATACTCATATGGCTTCAAAACCGAAACGGTTATTTATCTTTGATATTTATTCAAATCCATAAGACTTCAGTGTAATATCAATAGTGGCGTTCCCACGATTACCTACTACCGAAGCAAGTTTATGCACCATCCATCCCTTTCTGTTTAGTTGGGAATCAAGGCATTTCAGTCTCATAAGTTCTATTTTTTTTATCGCCTGAGCAGGTGTTTGGCATAAGTATACTTCCGTTCTTCCTTTCACTTTCGAGAAATAGTCCGGTCACCGACTCTAACTTAACTTCAACACAGATTATCAGCCATTTTTCTTTATTGTTCCTTCTGCCAAACAAGCCTTTTTCAGGTAATCGTACAGTAAATATAACCTATCAGTAGCAGTGTTTTTGTTTATTGTTTCTTGTAATCTTTCTTTTTTGAAAATAGCTGACCATAGTGACCACTTGACTTTTAGGTTGACATTTGGTCTACTGGAATCACAGCTATTGAACTAGCTAAAGGTGAACCACCTAACGCAGATTTACATCCAATACGCGTTCTTATGCTCATTCCAAAGAACCCTTCACCTCAGCTCACTGGAGATTTCAGCAAAGTATTCAAGGATTTTGTGGATTGTTGTTTGACTAAAGTCCCAGAAAATGTAAGTCTGTATATTTATTGTAAATTACCAGTGGAATATATCATCACAGTTACCCCATAGTGTTCTTCAATTATTTGTTCTATACACGCTTCAGGTTAGATTTTTATAATTCAATACAATTATATACAATCAACGACTCTATTTAGGCATAACTCAGGACACTATTTAATTTGTATTTCATTTACCGAAGCAAACCAGTACAGTGTTACCCGTCGTTGTCTTTTCATATTTCTCCGCTTACCCCCCCCCAACCGACTGCATTTCGAATGAACTAAAGAATGACTTCTACCACAAACTGTCTAATTTGCTGCGGAAAGCAAAACGCTCAGATATAATTATTTCAAGCAGGCGACTTCAATGTCCAAGTTGGGAATTTGTACCAGACTGAGAAGTATATAGATGATACGTACGGAGTCCCCTGCCGACTGAACCGACAACAGTGATGGTCTTCTACAGTTTTGTTCAGATAACCATCTGTTCATAATCAGCAGTAACTTTAGACACAAAGAGAGACATCACCTAACCTGGCTACCACCATCACCAGATCAACGTTGGACTCAGATAGACCGTATAGCGATAGGGTATCGTTGGAGAGGGTAAGTAGAATGTCGCTCCTTCTGGAATACCTGCGTACACTCCGATCACACTCAGGTTCGCACACATATATGCTTATGACTTAACAGACATAGGAGATTGCTCACAGCAAAACAGTCACGTTCACAACTAGATCGAGACACTGAGTCCACTTAAGGAAGACATAAAGAGTGAAGTGGTAGAGCACGTTGACTGCTTCACTTATTTGGGAAGTACCATAAGCCTCAACGGTTTGATCTCTGACGAAATCTCAGTATGGATACAGAGGACTAGTTTCGCACATGCCAGTTTACGTCGTCTCTGGCATAGGCATGATATCTGACTATCGACCGTATTACTATTCTTTTTATCTCATGTTTCTCTTTATTATCTCTGTTTTGCATGTCTCTCTTCGCTTGCTTTATATGTTACATGGAGTTTTTTATCTCAACCTGCTGCGTACCTTTGCAAAGTTCTATGTTAAAGCCAGTTAGTCAGTCACAATGTTGCATTATTTTCCTTATGTTAGATTTTTCTGTGCATGGTAGTTGTTTTTATTTGTCAATCTACTAAGTTAATTTTTTAAACGTGTAAACTAAGTAACCAATGCACTACAACATTACTTATTATTTTATTTTCTAAGATTCAGTTGTCAGGTAATCGTGTATGTAATCTGAATAGATGGAGATTTCATTTTGTCGTAAACAGTCATTTAGCAACAGCAAGTACATGTTAGGCACATGAAGAGCCCTAGTAGTTCCGTAGAAAGTATAAGTAAAACAAAAGATTTATCATGCTCTAAAGTTTGCTGTTGTGTCAGCGTGAAGCTTATACAATGTTTTTATTGATCCCTTACTTTTATAGTCGCTGTCATTATCGTTGTATAATAAAAAAATTGTATGTTGTGAGTGAATTTCCTTATATATATCATACAATGTAGCGTTTATGGGATATATGAAATCATGAGACCACTTTTCGCACGTTTTCCCACTCATATCATGTTTATTAAGTATATTTGGTATAGTGTTTTCAGTGTAGTATGTCCATACACGTATGATACAGATCAGTAGTCACATACATATTCGAGACTGAGCCGCATTTACTCTAAAAATATTCATTCACCCTGTTCAGAGTAGATTTTCTGAATCGTTTGAATCACGGAACTGCAGCTGCCCCATTACTAATTAGTTCATGTACCTAAACTTCAAAGCTTACGGAAATGTTATGTGATAAATCAGCCGTAAATATTAGTCCGTGTATGCATAGGTATGACGGTGTAGGTTTTTGTCATTAGATGTTAGAGGGAATTATAGAATAACTGCTGTGATTTCCATTGTGTTAGGTTAAATGTGCACACAGTCAGTTTCGTAGTCGATTAGAAAACCAACTTGAAATCTCATTCGATTTCGAAGGCAGAAACATCTGACAATTAGGTTATGAAAATTTTAAGTGAAAATCTATAGATTAGCAAGACAGAAAATATTTATTAAGTCATGAAAAAAATAAAAGGCAGTTCAATGTGGAATTTTTTCTTTATCAGCGAAGTCATTTTTGTAGTCTGTGCAATAGAGCTTATATTTACTAAAAAGGTATGGCATTCTATAACTGAGTGATGGAGTGTGACAGAAATGATGTAGTTATTTAAAAGGGGTTTCTAAAGATAAAAAGATTATTCCCAAACTAGGACGAAACAGCTATCCAGTACTCCCTGGTTTTCACTGGTTCTCCAACTGATACCAATCCCTGGTCAAACTCGTAAAAACAAATGTAATCCTTACAAACTAACTCTTGAAAAAGAAATTACTCAATAATTACTGACATAACGATGAAAGTAGGGGTGTGAAATTTGTTAGTAAATGTGAAGTGAGGTGTTTGAATGTCCACCAGACAAGTGTGAATAAGGTGACAGAAAAAAAAGCAAATTACACAAAAAGAAAGACGTTACTGCAAGCAATATTCTTTAAAAGGGAATTAGAGTATAATCTTTGTTACTGTGATACATTTTCTAATTACAACAGTAATTACCTCAATAAGATGAAGTGGACTCTATGCCTTTGATATTTCGAAACTTATCGGACGATCAAATTATATTCTGCCTTTGCTACACATCTGGTAATTTATCTTATAATGATTTGCTTCTATGGTCTTGATAAAACTTAAAACAGTTTCTACTCCCAGTCATATATTTGCATCTGTAAATGATAATGTACAGCAAATTGATAAATTTTTAGTTGCACTGATCGTCATCATCATTATCATCGAACAGACTAACCACATTCAACTTCTTCTGAAAACTAATAATCTATTTAATTTCGAAGATGGTTACCTGACGTATCACCCCTTCGAACGTTAGATCTGTTTGCCTATGATCTCTGTTGTCAAAATGATTGTTCATCATGTAATTGTTATTTCTACCGTAAATTTCCTTTTGGTATTTTTTTTGCATTTTTCTACGTGTAGATATGCTTTTATGAAGTAGTTTTGTGCAGTTGTATGTTAACAATTCAGTTTCGTTCATTTTCAAAATAATTTGGGCTTCAGTTTTCTAGACTTCATTATTGACGTTGATTGGGATAGGTTGGTTGGTTCCTTTCAAATTGATTTAATGTCATTCCTAAAGTTACTCACCATTGAATTACTGCTTGAATGGGATGCATACAGTGGTTGTTCAGCTGTAGCTGGTTTTTGCAAAATTGTAATTTAGCACAAGACAAGACAGCAGGACCTGAGGTGCTTACCAAGGCAATTAACTTGAACGCATAAAATTGTGTAAAATCTTACGAAAAGTTATCTTCTGAAGTAGTGACAACCAGTGATGCTCATCAGAAATGCTCACTCTTATCGCTCTTTGTTCACCCTACAGTCGTAAGGATAGATAAGATATGAGTCAACTTCTATGTTTCATCGATTGGCTTACTACCTGGAAAAGTTTCGTCGACTTATTTATTTCAATTGATGACGCCGACAAAATGTAGAATCTTCGGAACACTCCGAGTAAAAACCTGAGTATATCTGCCACACTAATCCGACCTCAAATTTAAGATTACGCCATGGAACTGGTTTTGATTCACCCATCTTAAGGGTGGTCAGTTAAACAACTAAATGTGTTGACCACTTCACTCTTATGAAAAATTGTATCAGCAGCGCAGATGTGAAGTGCTGCCACCGTGGTAGATTACAATTTCATAATGGAATCATATTATTTAGTGGAACACAATGATATATTGTTATCCACTGATAATGTTCCTTGTGGAGAGTACTGTGACATTCCATGCTGATTTCTCGATCCTATGGCTTACTACCTGCCTGTGGTTGAAATGATGGTACCCAGGTGAGTGAAGGAGACGGCTTTAGATTTCTCTCTGGTAATGATTAGTACTCGTTGTTGGTTAGGTACCTGCATCACTCATATCTTGTTTATGTTCACCTAAAGGCCTGTCTTCACTACCTCATCTGCCGATTTGTCGGTTATCTTTTGTCTATTTTTGAGTCTGTAAGACATATAATGAGTCTGTAAGACATGAAACACAAACCGTCTGCGAAATCCAGATATGAGGTCATTTTGTGTGTTCCATTGCCCTTACTTCAAAGGATTCGACGATATCCCCGTTGTTTGCGCGGACAGCTGTAGGTCATTTAAATTGTTCCTTAAAGTGTTTCATCCGACATATTAGCTGTGTGTCCTAAGATTTAATCCTCCAGGACTCATTTTTTCAATAAACTTGCATGTCTAACTGGTATTTTGACTTTTCTGTTTCTTTCGCCACTCCCATTTAACTCACCTACACTAAAGACTTTTGAGCATCTTTCGCTTCTCGTCATGCTGTAGGCTCATTGGGGCCACTACTCTGGGTACAGATATTTAATGGCTACTACTAACTTCTCGAATGCAGGTAATCAACTGTCTTCACCATTATGTCTAAAAAAGACTGGACATAATATCAATCTTCTTGAGGATTAATATCTCTGTTTTCTTCAGATAAATGTGTATTTGTATCTTCTCTAAGTAGAGAGCTGTATACGTGTAGACTTCGCGACTGACTGAGGTAATTATACAAGGAGAATTCCAAAAAGCTCACTTCACATCAAAGTAAGCATTGAAGAGGTCGTCCAGGTGGAAAGCTTGGCATTTAAAGCACCCACAGCTAAGAGAATACAGCCAAACAAAGCAACTAATCAGTTGTTCGCTTTTTTATGATTATTGAGCATATTCTACTACTAATAGCACAATATGTTTTCCACAAATCTTTTAGAATAGATAAGTATCTTATCATCATTTTTGGAACTGTGTTATTGCTTTTTTATTAGAGACCAACAGCACACGAACTATTACGTCATAGCTTCATCAAAAAAGCACGTAAAACAGCGTTTTTACAAGAGCTAATTGAGCGTTATCGAAAGTGGCGTGATGAAGGAGGAGACGATGATGCTGACGGTGAATCTGATGATGATGGGCTGTAAGTTTGAAATGAGAGTTCCTTACGTACCTTGAAAGTTTTTTCCTATGGCTGTCACTTTACTTTTACGTTTCTTTTATAAAGTAAAAAAATATCATATATATATATATATATATATATATATATATATATATATATATATACCTCACTAAGTCAGAAATAATAATGGTAAAGAGGAAAGGTTGGGCATGAGGCTAGCAACCCCATCCTGTAAAATAAACACTTCTACAGAAACTTCAAGCCACCAGCTTGAAGCCCTATGTTCCACTGGGAACGTGAAGGAAAAATTAATTGATTATATATATATATATATATATATATAACAGAGTAGAATAAAAATCTTCATCTGTGATACCCGCAGTCGATGGTTGGTTAGTCAGCTCAACGTTCAAGGTACCTAACTAGGTATTCATAACAGCATCATTAAATTATACGCAACATAGCACCGCGGAACTTAATTGGCGAAGTTAAACTTTCGACACCACTAACTACCAATCAGCGAATTATCCAATGGGATTCACGAACGATGTCGAATTATCCAATGAGATTCACGAACGCAGTTCAACGCTGTAGAGCGCTTGGTTCTTTTCTAATGCGTGACGTTACAAGATTACGGTTGCAATTCGAGGAGTACAGTGTTTTCCAGTATTGCCTGGATTTAGGGTTGCTCCGGAAGGAGCGAACTTGTTCGTGTGTTGGCATCATGACTTTAAAAAGCTATAGCAGATCAACTGATGGGTTTGTTCATCGTTGTGCTGTGTGTTTGAAGCGTGCTAACATTAGAGCGGATAAACTGATAATTTTAATATTTCGTAGGAACTTTTTTCGCTAGGTCGCATCTCTTTCTAACCCAGAGTTTGTACATCTGCAACTACTGGGTGTTGAAACAGCCGGTGAGAGCAGCAGCTGCCGAGACTGAGAATAGTCTCGTCTCAACAGTTTAGTGGTACCAGCATTGCAGAGATATTGCTTCGTGTAAAATAGGGAAAATCACTTGTTTGCTGGGTGGATCCCGTTACGAGGACTCATGCGAATTCCGTTGAAGGTTTTTGGGGCCGCTTAAAAAACAGGATAAGGGTTATAAATCGATCTCAAAAGGATCTCATTTACCGGGATTCAGATGAATATAAGTACACGATGTGGTGTGACTTCTCCATTGACAGTCTTATGCTAAACTGGGAGATGTTTCTCTCACATGTTCGAGAAAGATACCCCTTGTAACCTTTTTATCCTTTTTTATGCTTTCTTCGATAAATATACGTTTCCATTCATCATATATGCCTATTTAATATGATTGGTCCGTCCAAGGTCTTTGCTGATTGGTTGTTAGTGGTGTTGAAAGTTTAACTTTGCCACTTAATTCATTCTTTTTTGGAACTTAATTGTATTAACGAAGTCAAACGAATTACGCAGTGAGCAGCAGGAAGTTTTCCTTCTGATCGGTTCCAACAGGTCGACTAATTGTTGGGCAATACAATGATAAGATGAATTTGTTATATCAAAGGCAGGATGAAGAGGTGCGTCTTTCTTGTGTACTTTCGTCACTCTGTGCAGTCGGGATATATTTGAGCTATGTGGTGTCAGGCATATCTTTTAGTCGTATTCTTGACTTGGCCAATTCATCTTAACTCATTACCCTAAAAGTTAGTTAACCGTCTGGAACCAGTCTGAATGCAAGTTTCCTGTCACTGAGATATTTTTTTCTACTTAGTTCTGTTGAAAACGTCAACTTTTTTGACCAAATAATATTTAAATTTATATTGGAATTCATTTATTGAGAATTTTTAGTTAGACTAGAAATAAATTCCTCAGTCTTCTTCAACAATTACATGTAATTAGACATTCAGATTGACTTTTTCCACCATTAATTTATTCATGATTTTGTATATGTGCTAATCACTCTTTTAAAAACTGCAAAGGCTGCCTGTTTTATTCGCGAATGAAATCAAAAGTGAAACAGTCACATACAAAATGACTTGTTGTGCTGTATATTTATAATTCAGAAATATGATATATTTATTCAATTTTTTAGTCTATTTTAATTTTACTGTTTGTTCTATAAGGAGTTACGTTGGCATCAATTCGAAGAATGGCGTCTAGTATATATATATATATGAAACAAATTACCACCCACTTTGTGTATTAGATTTAAATGTAAAATCCACTACAAATACTCCATTATGGATAAGTGCCCAAGTTTTATACTTATATCCACTGCAAATACCCAGATGCTTTTATAGTCTTCTCACCCGGTCTCTGTATTAGTAAACGCAATGTACCCTACATACGATTTTGATGAATCTAATTATTTATGGGAGGTAGAAGGTTTTCTTATAATTCTAGACTTCAGTCAGAGGTCGTAGAATCACTTTTGGCTAACTTTAAATTTTAGTGTTCATTTTCATTTCAAACACGTGCTTCACTTTGCTGTCAAATTTAGTTTTATAATTCCTTTGAAATTTATAATGCCGAACTAATTTTATGTGACTCTCATTATTTCACGGACGTCTACGAAGGCCCTAATACAATGGGAGGCGATCCCGTTCAAGATATTGACCGCATGATTCAACTCAAAAGGTAGAATACTGATAATTATACAATGCTATACACCCACAAACAATGCAGACCTAGGAAAGAAAAAACAGTTCTACAATGGATAAAACGTCTGTCGGTGACAATAAAATCCTAATGGGCGACGTGAACTCCGAACTGAGACCAGACAACACAGGAAGAGAACTCATTATGGGTAGAGAAGCACTTGTAGAGATGAATGAAAACGCAGGACTCTTCGCGACTTCTGCACCTTCAATGGACTAATGATTGGTGGCAGCGTATATAAGCACAAGGGTATCCACAAGGCTACATGGGTGTCACCAGACTGGCGAAACGAAAACCAAATTGACTTCATGTCAATCTCAAGAAAGTGGAGACGCAGCCTAATGGACACAAAAGTAAGAAGAGGAGCAGACGTTGGCTCAGACCACTATCTCGTATGCAAATCAAATTAAAAGCCTTCAGAGAAACAGGACCTCCAGATAGACCACAAGCCAAGTTCAATACTCAAAAACTGAAGGACCAGGGTATAAGTATAAACCTTGGGCACTGTGGTAGAGTATAACCAGGATACAAAAGGCATCTTCACTGCAAGCATAAGGGAAAAAGCAGAGAGACAAATCAACACTAGCGAAGAGGTCAGCGTTGAGAAGCAATGGGGCAACCTGAAAGTGGTGTCAAGTCATACATACACGGAAGTTCTAGGCAGAAAGAAGAGATAGGGTAAACAGTGGCTCACTACCGACACATGGGGACTAATAGAAGAGAGGCGGATAGTGAAACAATAGATTATCCAGTGCATCGATGAACAACAAAGACGAGTTGAGTGCATGCTACAATACACTGAATAAAACAGTAGAGAAAGGTGCCAGGGAAGACAGAAGACTATAATATGAAGCGACGGCAAATGAAGCAGAACAAACTGCAGGCAAAGGAGACCGCAACTCTCTACCAAACAACTAGATATCTTTCGGGCAAAAGTTCGACACAAATTAAGCCAGTTAAGAATGACAATGGAAAGTCAATCACCAAAGAGGTGGAGCAAAGGAAACACTTGGCTGAACACTTCGAAAGACTTTCACATCGGCTGCCACCAACAACGCGCCGAATAATATCAATATTGGAAGCAGAACTACCAGTGGACATCAACCGTCCGACGGGAACAGAAGTCCTGAAGGCAATCAAGATACTAAAAACTGGAAAAGAAGCAGAACCCAGCAGAGGCATTGAAAATGGACCCCGAGACATCAGCGGACTTTATGACACCACAACAATCAGCATAAATGGGAGGAGTCTGAAGGGATCAACCTCCTTTACCTACCTACCTGGGAAGCATCGTTTCAACTACAGGCCGACGGAACTGACGAGGATATCAAAGCCAGAATCGGAAAAGCAAGACAAGCTTTCATTACTCTCAAGTCTGTGTGGAAGTCAACAGCACTCAGCATTAAAAATAAGATCCGGATTTTCAACTCCAATGTGAAGTCAGTGCTACTATTCAGATCAGAGACTTGGCGCGCCATAAAGAGCACCCCAAACAAATTATAGACCTTCATTAACAGTTGTCTTCGCTCAATACTCAAGATCAGATGGCCAGAAAGGATCAGCAACAGGGATCTCTGGCAATGAACGAACCAACCAGGAAACGAGTGTGCAACAAATAAGCAGGAAGAACTGGAGGTGGATTGGCCATACGCTGAGGAAACCATCAAGTGACATCACTAGACCAGCCATTGCTCGAGTGGAACCCGAAAGGGAAGCGGTGAGTTGGTCGTCCAAGGGTGACTTGGAGGAGTTCATGTGAAGAGGAGATGAAAGCGTGTGGACAGACTTGGAGCCAGGTGAAAACGTTGAGAGAGGACCGAACGCAGTGGAGACGTTCGGCTGAAGCCCTATTTTCCTCTAGGAACTAAACAATACAATAATAATAATGTGTACTTCAAATTAGTTCGCACTATTTAATTGTTTTTCGGGAGAGAGCTTAGAAATGTGTTGAGCGGAATTCTTCGTGTTTCAAGTTATGTCCATTTCTTGTGAGAATTCTCTAAAACCGCAATGCATTCGAATAACTTTGCGTAATTACGATAAATGTGTTAGTCAATGGTTCATTGGTAGAATGCTCTCCAACCACGCTTATGATGCTGGGTTTGATATCCTGCCGATGCACTCCTAAACCTCCCGCTAGTCAACTCGATAAAGGAGGAAGGTTGGGTGTTGAGGTTAGCGATCCTACTGCATAAAAACAACATCACTACTTCTGAAACTCCTAAGCTCAGACTTGAATCTCCATTTTCCTCTCAGAACGTGAAGCAATGACAAAAAACCCGGGAAATTTGTACAAAACACATTTGCATTAGAAAATTGCTTAGGTTTTTATCCTTAACTTGTATTGTCCTTCAAAAATGTTTGCATGTTATTTTCACTTTTTTAGAACATTATTAACTTAGATTCTTCAATATTATTATGTTTATTTACATTGTTTCCTAATATTTATGTTTTGGTCATCTGACTGTTAGTAGCATCTGCCAATGCGACTATTTATGATTGTTTACTTTCTGTGAATAGTCATCTTGAAGGTGGAATATACCCATTTCCTACCTACTTTTGTGCTTAATCTATCTAGTCGGAAGATCAAAGTGAATTTGTTTTTTTTAACGTTTTCATGCGTATAGGTACTGCTTCTGAGAAAATATTGTCGCATTAATAGTACAGCATTCTGTCTATCTGGTTAGTGCAATAGAAATGAGACTACTTTTTTGTGAAACTCAATTATACTTCATGATTTGTATGTGTACCTCAGTAGTGTTGTTTCCGATGTTTCATGTAAGTGACAAATCTAAGAAAATCTTGGCGGACAAAGTTGATAAATAAAAAAAGTCCTAGCCGGAATGGAAATAAGTTTGTCTATGCACAACTGCATTTATTTATCTAGCTTCCAATTTAGGTAAACCAAGACGAAAGGCTCTATGCAGTGAATTTAAGTAATAGGCAGTTGAATTATTGCCGTTGTGTGATTACTATATTTAACATCAATAAACATATAAGCGTCAGTGGCACAGCGGTTAGGACGCTCGCCAACGATGCACATGGTTCGGGGTTCGGTCCCCGGCCGACGCACTCCTTTACCTCAATAAGTCAGAAATAATAATGGTGAAGAGAAAAGGCTGGGCATGAGGCTAGCAACCTCATCCTGTACAATTCAACACTTCTACAGAAACTTCAAGCCACTAGCTTGAAGCCCTATGTTCCACTGGGAACGTGAAGGAAAAAACAAACAAAAAACCCATATACTGTAGGGCTAGATACCAAGTCATCACGTTCCCTTGATTTGACTAAAAGTCCCATGTTTGTTTTATAGTACTAGAGTTTGTGTTCTGTTCCTAAACATTTTTATTGCATCAGCGAACACGTACGAAAGGGCTTTTGGTGTTTGCATATTTATTAGAGTTCTCACCACATGTTTAATATGAAGCACTGTCAGCAGACTAGAAATTTATCTCCTTTTATTGATTGTGAGCTTCTTAATACCGTTTTTAACTAGTGTTCCAGATGAAGAAGATCTTATGAATGCCCAACCCGGTACTCCAGGAGTTGCTGCAGTTTGTGACAAGTCTGGCGCAAAGAAAAAAACTTCGGACGGTGCAAAATCAGGCAAAGCATCTGACACTTTCAAATGGAATTTCGAAACAGTGCGTGCTATGCCTTCACAGTCTTCATCATCCTTTCATAGTTCTTCAGCTTATTCCTCCCCTGATATCTCCTCAACACATACCAACACACATATTCATCATTCTCCTTCATCTTCACAGCCGAATTCAGATGTTCATGGTGGGATAAAACGAACACCTGAAAGTAGTACACCGGAAATGTCAGATCGTCATATGTGTGATGGAAATGAAGCGTAAGTTATCAGAAAATGTTAACTTTATGATATATATATTCAGTACATTTTCTCCAGTTTCTTGTGCTTATGAAATAAAATTCTCGTTTGAATTGTATATATTCATTAGGCCTAATCATCACTAATCTCATCTCAGGCTTCATGATATTTTGTAGTTGCATTCAGTTTACCATTTTCCTGACACTACTATTTACTTCAATTTTTATAACTTCAAGAACTGTAGGGGAATTTATTGATTACAACGTATATCTACAGAACTATCCGTGTTCAAAGTTATACAGTATTTTTACAAGCCAAGTTTAGCACTTACTTAGATTCCCTTTTTCCTTCAAACTGTTCATTTATTTCTTTCTTCTCTAACTAAGAGTTGCAAATGTTATGCTGAATGAGGTAGGCTTAGAACTCGATGTGTTGATTGATTGTCATGCCAATGTTCGTGGTGGTTTCTTTTGATGCCTTTATTGTTTCATACCTGACGAGTAATTTTATTAGTTTATTTAGTAACATAATCAACAATAATTATATACTAGTTATTAATAAAATATGTATTCACACACGCAGTGATTTGTTTACAATGCATGACGTCAAATATTTCTTATCAGTTGAAATAGTGGTTTAGTTGAGTAGTGATTCTACTTACGACTGTATATAATTTTTGTTTATTAATTATTTACTATTATTGTTATTGTTTTCTCTTCTCAAGCAGTTACTGCAGATACTTCTTTATTTAACTTTAAATACGTAAGGTAGTTATAAAAAGTTTTTATAATCCATATTTTCGAAATCATCTGAATCTTTATTCAAATATTAACAACATCTTAGCTATTTATGTAAGCTGTGTTTGCTTTTCATGAATTATTTAAAAGAAACTCCTGTTTATATCATTTTGTTTATGGGTGACTAACAGTGGAATTCTTCCTATTCGGGACACATTATCTGGTTGCGCCTGCATTCCCATTGAGTGATGGTGTTCCAACTGTGACTTAATTCCTGCACTGATCGTGTAAAATTAAAAACATTATGTGTTTCACCTTCCCACTTTCATTTTTTTTTACTGAGCATATCTTTCTACGTTTTAATGTAAACAATCGTTGTATTGAAGACATTCTGGCTTCTTTTCCACCTTATATGGTTGTTGTTGTGTGTTTTATTAGATCACAAGTTAATTTGCGAAAGAATTTTCATTGAGAAGCTTCTCTATTTATGCTTATGATTCGCAGTAAATGATGTTATTGAGTTATGAAACACAATACTCCTGCATACGAATAGAAAACTAAGACTGCCGAAATATACAACAGTTGTTGGCATTATATGTGTATATTTGCGACATCCATATGTACACTATTGCACACTACTTATTTGTAAAAGTGCTGCTTAGTCATTGAGCATCAATTACTCAAAGTTGTCGACTTCATCCATTTCAGTCTTCGTGTTATAGAATAAGTGTGTTTCACAATTCTGTGCACAGCGCATTGTTGTTTTTGTGAGTTCATACTTTTATTTTTTTCATGATTAACTTACATTGACTTACTTTAGTATATTTTTGCCATTGAGTTAAAATTAATATTTACTCCTCTTGTGTTTATCAAACAGATCAGATTTTGTGTAATCTATATTCTCTTTCTTTTTCGCCTTCTAACTAGACGTACTTCAAATCCTTTAGCGACGGGACCTCATTATTCAGGTGTCCAGTCATCGTCACAACTTGCTTCCTGTATAGTTGATGAAAATTCTCGTGCCCAGATTTCACGCCCTATAGGGAATTCTCCGAATCAAGTAACTGGCCCTACTAGCATACCCATTGTTCGAACACAACTTGTTCCACCTGTAACTAGAATTATGGCCAATGAGACTTCATCTCAGTCACCAGGATCTCGACAAATGTATGGTAAGTTACTTTTAATTTCTACCGGGAAATATTTCCATGAGGTTCACTAAACATTTACTCTTAATTCAACCTGGGTGACTGACTGGTGTCATCAGCTTTAACAGTAACTACTGTGATTGATAATCACACCTTAGGGGTTTCCAAGTTTCATTTCATTTGGCAGTTGTCGCTAAAGATATTTTCCAAAAAGTCAGTAAAAACTCCACTATTAAATCACCCAACTGCGTCAGTGGCACAGTGGTTAGGACTCTCGCCGACCATGCACATGATCCGGGATTCGACCCCCTGCTGACGCACACCTGATATCTATGGTCGGCCTGCAAAATTTGGGCTACCGATATCACATGCTGAAAATTCCATACTTGTACGAAAGTATGGTGTGGCATCAAGCTGTAGTCAAAAATAAAAAAAAATAAAACACAAAAACAGTGAAAATGTTCACCTCTGTTACAAATATTTACTATTTCAGTCTGTCCCGGATAACAAACAAACAAATTTTTATAGTTTTCGAAAATTTTAACTACAAGCAACAATCATATATAGCTTTTTCTTGTGTACTGCATGCGTCGGTTTTCGCATTCTTACTTCCTGATCCAACCAGAAATAGATTGTGCAGGAACCAGTTTCGGTTCATCGCATTCTGTTGCTGGGTTTATAATAAAGAGTATCGTGTTGTGCGTTTGCCAACTATTGTATTAATTGGTTTTGCGAACTTGCCAGACACTAGTTGTGTGGCAAAATATGCCATGGAATAAGTATCCATTTATATGTATGTTGCGCATAGATTCACTGTTGATCAGTGCATTGAATAATTTTGTCCCCGTATTCTAGAGTAGCGTGGGGCATAGAGATAGTTTTCCAGTACTGCACAACGAAAGCTTTATCCTGACAAATCAGGTTATAAGTATTGTTCATAGGAAAATCCGCACGCGTCCTACATAAACCGACATTATTAAGAACAGGCTTTAAATAAGTTCATTGCGCTATCACTTTATTTTATTGAAGTGGATAATTAAGCATGATTCTCTTCTTTAAAACTTTCAGCCTATTACCATAACGTATTAATTTGCAGTTATACTATGCGTCTTATTTCTGCTTTTAAAAAATCCTTTTGGTACCACTAGTCAGTATTAGAAGGCGAATAAGAATTGCAAGCGTATGCCGGTAAAAGCCGTCATCAACGGGATTGCTTTGTGTGCTGATTCACAATGAATATAATTTTGGTCTGATTCACTAACCCCTATCATTTTTAGGTTACATATCTTCACATGAATGCATTTGACCCAGTTTTGTATCATACAGATATCATGTACTTGAGAATAGCATATGCAATTATGAATACTGATAATATTTTCAACAATCTTTACCATTTATGTAGGCGTAAAATAATTCTGATATCATATAGGCGCGAGTGTGAGAGAAAAGAAGTTCATTGTCTTAGAGAAAATAAAGTTGGTTTTTGTGAAATTTACCTTTTTTAAAACGATATAATAAATACTACCAGTTTTGTATGAGGATTAATTTTTTTTCTAAATTTCATTAACTTAATCCTCATCGTTTTTTTTTATAGTTGGAGATTCTGGTCAGACAAAAGTTTCCAATTCGAAAAACATTTCAACATCAGCTAATAGCAAACCTCAACAGGGTCAAACACCCACATCGGTTGTGACCTTAAATAAACCTTCTTTTTGCTTTCAACAACATGTCTTACCACTGTTACAAGATGTAAGCCATTTCATAGTTTTCTGTAATGAAATACCGATATATACATATATATATATATATTCAATTTTTGCAGGTTTTACTCGGTTATATAAGAGTACTTAAATAATTTAATCAATGTAAATTTAGCAATCAGTATTCTTTTTTGTTCACATATCTTAGTATTTTTATTCGACTAAGCAGTTTGTCTAGTAGTTTTTTGAAAACTACAAAATGACTGTAAAACGTCCGGTAAACAAGAATCAGTTCCATTTTTATACAACAGCAGCTAACTAACGGAAGTTCTAAGATGAAAAAGAGAATAAAAATAGACTTTACTATTTCGTATCAAAGTTTCCGTAAACAAAAAAAGAAATAGCTTCCCTCACAATGGATAAGATTTACTGTCTGTTTTTTAAATTCAGCTTTCTCGTTTTTGATGTAAGTTGCCTCTAAACAATATTCTGAGCGTAAAATAAAGATACACTTAGCTGAGAATTTCAGGATGTTTTGCTTGCTTTCTTAGCGAGGATTTCTGTCTTAATCCTAATTCAAAGCAATACGCCATCTGCTTCCTATCTGTTTCTTCAAATATTATGAAGACTTTAGACATACAACCGCTCTTGCATTTTTATTATCATATGCATTTGATGTAGCTGCCCAACTAGTACTAACGTCTTATGTAGTCGTTTGCTGGGGCTGTAGGTCTTCATCGACTCAATCTATCATTACCTTATGGCATCTAGTAATCCGATAATATTTTTAGATCACATTCATTCGGATACACTTCACAATAGTCTAGTAACATATCAACGTATTGCTTCATTTACGGGCAATACATTTTAAAAGTTGTTTAACTATGCGATTCACATTTGTCTGTGGGAATTTGTAACTGAAGATGCGGGAGTTATTGATTATTTTAACCACCAATGCGTCTAAATGTAATTTAAATTTCGTTATCATGGTGTCTTTTGTCATAGATTATCAACTGTATACTAATCTATTAAATACTGTGAACCGGATTATCTAAGACTTTCAGAAGTTAATCGCTAACCAAATGTGTATAGTTGTATTTCTGTTTTATGTGTGTAAATGTAATCTGTCACTAAATATTTTATCAGTTGACACAGCTTCACTAACATTAATTTTCCTTAGTCGTTAACTTCATCACTATCGATTTTTAATCGTATAGCGATACACCACTTGATAAGATCGAGCAGTTCAATATAAACAACATTGACACTATAGAAGGTGACTTCGTTTTGTTTTATTTAATTCTCAGTATTTAATCGTGTACACCTTCAGTCAGTAAATATTTGACGTATGAATATTATTAGTACAAATTTAGACTTTCTTAATATTAGTTCAAGGTACAGGATTAAAAAAAATCAAATTGTGTATGGATTTGTGAGACCACGGGACAATTGTTTTAAAATTAACAAGATTAACCTGAGCCGTTAAAAATTAACGTAATTATTGTAGTAGTTGTATATGCGGCTAGGGAGTGGTAGGGGAGATGTGTAGTCAAACTACTCAAGGACCGTTGTGAAATTACAAATTAGCTTATAATAATAAACCTACTGTCTGTCTGTCTGGATTCAACATAGAACTTGGCACCGATGTGCAGCAGTTCGAGTTGCCACGTTCCAAATAGCACACAAAGGTAGACAAGAAGATGAGTGAAGAGAATCAATACAGTCTGACAAGTATAAGAGTGAAACAGAATGGGTAATGGTGGAAAGGAATATGAAAGATTACAGAGACTGAATACATCTGCGCCAGTGACAACGATTTTGAGCCATGTCACCTATTGTCTTCAGCCATTGATTCCTAGAGTCCCGAGGGATCCAACTCGGAAGTCTGCATCTCCCTACCTGACTCAGTTTAACTGTCAAGGATTTCATGGATTGATGCCATGTTTTTGTTTGGCCACCACTGGCTCTTTTCCAACCTGCACCTATATCAGCTAGCAATGCCCGTCGGGGGAGGCGATGGTTAGGCATGCGCAGAACGTGACCTAGCCATCTCAATCTATGTAACTTTATAGCCTCGTCGATTGATTTTCCCTCTTTGCCCAACACTCTACGCCTAACGTCAACATTACTTACCTTATTAAACCACCTAACGTGAGACAGAGATCGCAGACATCTATGATCGAAAGCAGTCAACCTTTTCATGTCTTCAACGCGTATTGGCCATGTTTCAGAGCCATAGAGAAGGACGGAGCGAACTGGTGAGCAGTACACACGTCCCTTGGTTGATAGCCGGATGTCACGCCTACGCCAGAGATGGTGTAAGTCAGCGAAAGCAGCTCGAGCTTTTCGGATCCGTGCTGAGATTTCATCGCCAATCAGTCCGTTGGTGCTGATACAACTTCCCAAATAGGTGAAGTGGTCAACATGTTCTATCACTTCACTCCCTATCACTAAGTTAGGAGTTGACGTAGTCCAGTCCTGTAGCAGCATCTTACATTTTGCAGGGGCGAATCGCATGCCAAACATACGAAGATTGCTGCTCAAGGTGTTCAGAAGACTCTGCATTTTGTCAGCATCCTCCCCTAACAGGACTATGTCATCTGCATATTCTAAGTCCATAAGACTATTCCCTGGTAACAAGTCGATTCCTAAGTCGTTACGTTCAGTTAAGGATACTTCCATCAGCATATCTATGATGAAGTTAAACAGAAATGGGGAAAGTGGACATCCCTGTCGGACGTCACTGGTTGTTATCAATTCAGATGACAATTCCCCATAAGCCCTTACACGACTACGTGAGTTTGAATAGAGTGCCTTGATTAGTGCAATGTACTTTCTTGGCACTCCCTTCACAGTCAGACATTGCCATAGTACCTTTCGATCCACGGAGTCGAAGGCCGCCTTCAAGTCAAGAAATATGACAATTGTTGGACGCCGAAAAGTGTGTCTATGTTCTAGAATCTGTCGAAGAGTGAAGATATGATCTATGCACCCTCTACCTGGTCTAAAGCCTGCTTGATTTTCCCTTGTCTGTTCCTCCCGAGTTCTGCTTAGTCTATGCATGATTACTGAGCCTAGGATTTTAGAGACTATGTTCGTTAGGCTGATCCCCCTATGATTATCACACGAGGACTTGTTTCCCTTCTTGAATATCGGTATAATAAGTGACTTACCCCAGTCTGATGGTACTGTCTCTGATTCCCAGACTTTGCCTAGTACCTCAGTTAATCTACAAACTAGTATGTCACCCCCATATTTAAACACCTCCGGAATAATTCCGTCGGGTCCTGCCGCTTTGCCTCGTTTCAAATTACTGATAGCTTTTGTGACCTCACAGACGGCGGACCAGTGTCTATATCCCATTCGGGTGTGTGCTGGATGTCGGGGAGGTTCAGTGTGGCTGTAGGCAAGTTAAATTGTCCCTCAAAGTGTTCTTTCCAGCGTTCAAGGCGTCTATCCTGAGAGCTAATTAAGGAGCCATTTTTCTCAGAAATAGTCTCACTTATGATTTGCCTTCTCCCACCCGTTTCCCTGATGAGTCTAAAGAGTTGCCTAGTGTTGCCTATCGCCGATGCTTTTTCCATCTCTTTCGCCTTTGTCACCCACCACTGTTCACGGTCCTTGCGGAGACTTTTCATAAGTTTCCTTTCCTAATAAAGCTACATTCAAGACAATATGCGAACATATGGTACAACAATTTTCAGCGTATTTAGTTCTTCATACAGGATTTACATGTAAAGTAATAATCTGAAGTATATCTTCTTTTCGCCGAAGAATTGTACAGCGTATACTTGGAAGCAAGTGAAATCAGCGCACAAGTTCATGTGTAGGTTATGTGATATAACTGAACGATTAAAACAATGATCGATCCAGATAAAACTAAGCATTTTGGTGGAAAGCGATTGCGGTAGCCCAGTGATTTATGCAGACTAACACTCGTATGTCATAATAATTGAAAGTAGTGAGAATAATAACTTTGAGAAGTGGAAATATACAATTACACTTTTCTTACTTAGATGAAGGTAAAGTTTGGTGAGCTAATCGGATACAGTATTTGTTTATCAGAGTGGATTTAACGTGTATAAGTATTTGGAGTGGGTGCTTTCCTTGACATAATTTTCCAATATAATTCATACATATTTTTGTGAGAAAAATTCAATTTTGTTTAACGTTGTATTATTGTTATTTCCCCAAAGCTCCAAGATGTATACAGTCAAGTAACTAGTGGTGCTTCAGATTCTATTTCCAATTTAGCTGCCACTTTTCAAACAGTTGATGCCTCATCACCTCAGTATACAACTGAATTTTTAGCAGAGTTGTTAACCCGCGTTTTGGATAGCAATCCACGTTTACCAGCGAATATTAGACGTCGCGTATTAGATCGTTTGAGGATGAATTCATCGGAATCATAATGTAAATTCTTCATGTTTACTGTGGTAAGCATACTTTACTTATTTTTCATTTATCCATACGAACTTTCTTTATCTGGATTATTTGTGGTGATTGATTAAAGGCATTTTATTTAAATGGTATAGAACATATATATATTCTCGTCAAAATTCACTGAATCAGAACAGGTTGGTGGATCTTTACATACCGTCTAGTGAGTCACAATTTCCTACAGTCAAGAACATCAAACACTTTATATCCTGAATGTGAAAGCTAAACTAATTCTGATACAATAGAGTTATTTCTTTGTAACATAGGTAACATAATGGCTACTGAACTTATTTCCTCCGTATAGGTCTAGTCTGTATTTTTACTTTTTCTTCAATTAGTTACTCATTGCCTTAAGCACTTCACTTCCAACGAGTGGATCCCCAGTTGGAGTTCTGCTCCAGCGACTTCATCTTGGGTGACTAGTGAAATTAGCCTTCACACAATGTGTGCGGCTCATAAATCTGACATATGAATGCAGACAAACTGAATTACTGAAATGAGCCACCAATAATTTACCATGAGGTTTTCAGAACGCACATAGACTCCATTCCTTATTATTAGCTCGTTGTTATAGAATAACTAGGTGACTTTGTTTGAAAAAATCCAACTAAAAGGTTTCACTGATGAGGAATCACGTAGTAGGTTATGAGAACGGGTAATTGTCGATTATCGGCAACCTCAATGACTTGATGATGATACTCGCCTTACTCTGTCGGTTGGTGACGAAACCTGCCTTCAAAGAGGAGATGTCTCCATAAACATGGTTATTTGTGGGTTGACTTTTGAAGAGGTGCAATTTTTTTTAACGAGTTAGGTGTTCAACAAAGTGTCAGTATGTACGATCAATTTGTGTATTAGTTTTCAACTTTTTGATTAAGTTCATCTTACTAGTTGTCCATCCTTTCTGTTTTCTGTTTTTATTGTAGCAATTCGTTTCCTGTGAAGGATAGTTGAATATGTGCATCATTCTATTAGTTGACTTACGTATATACATTCGAATTACTGTCAGTCTAAAATGATGCACAATCGAAATCAGTTTAGTATCTTTTCTCTTCATAACTTCGTTTGATTAATGACCATTATTCTTATGTTTAAGAAAATTCTTCAAAGTAAATTTGTCTCCCCATTTCTTGTATTTCTTTATGTCAACAGTGTGTGCTTTGTATACTGTTTACTTTGACTAACTAACCAAACTAACTGACAATGTATGCTCAAACTAATTTTATCACATTCCTTTAAGTTTATTAATCTCTGCTAACTTGTTTGCATCTTTTAAACTTTATATTACATACATAGGAATTTATAGACGTCCTTTAACCAGTTGGACGAAAATCAGCATAGGGCGGAACTCACTTTTTTGCATTCACACTCAACACACACATATATTTGCACGCATATCCCCCTTCACCTACTTCTCCCACTCCTGGTCCCTCATTCCCATGTTCGTTTTTATTTTAATCGTATAACAAAACGATTGAATGAAATAGTATCATGTGGTCAGTTACTGATTAACAATAAAAAAAAATGGTTTACTATTTGTTCATGTGTCGACTCACGTTAAGCAAAATGATGGAGTCGAAGAGATTGTTTGTAAAGAATAACTTATTCCATCCACATGTTTCTGTTTTTATCCTGCGGAAATTATCTATTCTTATATATGATGAGTAACGTCTCAATTTCTTCTCTATTGCATATTATTTTGCTTCACAGTTTTATTATATATATGTATTGTAATTCGTGCATCGGACATACTTCCCTTCTTTTAAAATATAATATGTTCTGTTTATTTTAGGGACGAAAAAACTCAATGTGACTACTGTACTTGTTTATATCGTAGTTTGCATTATTATTATTACTATTATTATTACTGTTGTTCTATAGGTATACATGTTTGCAACATCTTCCCACTTATCGAACTATGGTTGTCAGTCTTAGTTATATATCCTGCTGTAGTGTCTTTCATACATATTATTTTTTTCTTTTTACTCAGTTCCATTGTCTACTCATTTGTTTTTGTCTGTTTTTTTTCTATGCGTTCCTTTCTCCTTGGTTTTTATCGTCCTAAATCATTGTTTCTGTTTTATATGTGCATGTGAATTGGATATCTAAGTCAGCATATATTTCATTGATCAGACTAAACGAATATAAAAATAAACCAATAAATGAACATTTTGATGAGTAACACTTTTTATTTTACTGTCAATAGCTTTATCCTTACAGAAAAAGAAATAATAACTAAAACTGGTTTGTTTTTTATTTTTAAAGAAGCATTAAATATTCCCTACTGTGAAAATTGAAACAAGACCATTTATGCGAACAATATGTTGTTTTCAATTAAATCTTCCTCAGCTTCAATGTAAATAGCTGAATGGATACGATTTTAACCAAATAACAGTAAATTTGTGGATCAAGTGTGTGTGCCACATGTTGTAAATATATGGCTTTAACAACAGCGATAATAACAAGGTCAGTGACAAGAGTACTTTGCGAAGAGAACATTGAAGATAGCATCATAATGTACATATCCGAAATCTTATGAAATTAGATGTTAAATGGTACTGAAGATGCAGGGTATAGATCCTGTTTAAACAAATGTATGAAAACGGTGGTTTAGAATGAGGTGTATCAACTGGTTTATTAGATTGACCTAATCCAAGGAACAGACTTCTGAATGCAAAAATTTGGGTTATTCTTGCAAATCCTCATACTTCTGGGTATGTGTAGATGAAGGGTTCGAAAGGTTCAATGAAATACGACTGACGGTCATATAACCACACAGGGTGATGTTCGGAAATTTGACGAAAAACCTGCCTAATTGTACGGCCTATGTAACTGGCAACACAGGAGCAGATACACATGGAATGTACATTATCTTATACTGATTTTTATTCAAGTCTCTAGTCAATTCCCTTCATGTATTTTTATCAAAAAAATGTATAGAAATAAAGAGAAAAGTTGTGTGATTGACTTGATATGATTATGAGCAATAGTTTGTGCTCTAAACGTCACCAGTTAATATTACTGTATAACGCTGTGTGATTTATCAAAATAAAATCTTACCAATAACAGAGTTGTATCAGATTCTATTTAAGGTAAGAGTTAGTAGATTATAAAAGGATATCTGTCAGAATAATAACTGAGAAACTATAGTATTAGCAGACCGATTGGCTGTTACTTTTTACGCATAAAATAGATAACAAAATTTCCTCAGTGTTTAATTTATTAAATTTGACTGATTGATTAAATAATTAATTAACGATAATGTAATCTCCTGAAATTTACAATCTGCACCAAAATCTAAACTATTTTATCAAAGTGTGCATACCACCAGTAATCGATCTTAAACTTGTCATCCTTCCCAATCCTTGATAAATTATTGATTACTGCAACTTGGTACAGAACTTTTCATCTCTGTTACTAGTTATTCAGTTACGTAATTATTAAGAAATAATTGTCTTCTCAGCAAGAATTACTATATACATTGAAACTTTTGTGAGCAACCATATCCGTTTGTATGCAATTACAGTTAAAGTCTTAAATTGACAAACTATTGTTTTCAAAGATTTGAAAGTGAGTACGAACACCAATTTAGCAGTTTGCATTTTCTCTTAATAATTCTAATTGAACAGGAGCGAGTCACTCCACAGAGTATCGAACTTGACTAGAGTTACATGCTTGCATAAGTTTACAATGAAACTAAGTAGGAACAATAACAGTAGACTTTCCTGACAGACGACACTATCCAAATCAGTGGATAGCTCTACATAATTTCTTACATAAAATACTTCTCTAGAATTCACGTTACTGTCAGATGTTACCGCAACACTTTTCGATCTAATTCGTCAAAATAGATCCAGAAATGTTGTTAGAGTCAAATGTCAGTAAGCGTGTCTGATTTGCAGAACCTGTTAAAGAGAGAAGATTTGATCTCCAGCTTTCTACCCTCGAATTCGACTTCGTCACCAGTTCTTCGCAGCGCTGAGACCCAGAATCCTAGATAACATATTAATGAAGCCAATCATTTAGTGACTATAGCAGGAAGATTTGTTGACCTAGAATTGTCAGTGACTTATACCATCCTGATGGGACTACAATGTTTGCAGAACGTCTTATTACTTTTTATTATTGTTTCCTTGGGTTCCTAGTGGGACATAGGGCTTCAACTGCACGTCTCCATTTACTTCTATCTTCTGCTGTACTTTTCACCTGTATCCATGTTAGTCCATACTGTTTCAACTCCTCTTCATACGATCTCCTCCGTGTCACCCTTGGACGTCCCACTCTCCGCTTCCCTTTCGGGTTCCACTCGAGGGCCTGACGCGCGATGTCACCCAATGGCCTCCTCAGCGAGTGTCCAATCCATCTCCACTTTCTCCTGCATATTTGTTGGCTGGCGATTGGTTCTTGCTTTGTTTGTTCCCAGACATAGTTTCTTGTTGGTGATTCTTTCCGGCCCGGCCATCTGATCTTCAGTATAGATCCAGCGAAGACAGTTGTTGATAAATGTCTGCAACAGGCTGTTGGAAATATTCTTTGTGATCCGCCCGCCAAGTTTCTGATCCGTATAGATAAACTGACTTGACGTTTGTATCGAAAATCCGACCGAATTTTGTTGTTGATGCTGAGTGACGCAGAGTTTCAGATTGGTTTCAGGTTGATCAATGTGTTTCTCGCCTTCCCGATTCTCGCTCGATTTGACATCCTCGTCTGTTCCTCCTGTAGTTGAGACAATGCTCCCTAGATAAGTGAGTGAATGAAGTGACCTCTTTCAAATCCCTCCCGTTGATGGTGATTCGCGCTTGATGTTGCTGCTGTTGTTGTTGGCTGGTTATTTTCATAACCTCCGTCTTGTCTATGTTCACCTGGAGTCCTGTCTTCGCCGGCTGCTTCTTCGACCAGTTTGTCGGTTTTTGCTTGTAAGTCTTCGATTTTGTGTGACATCAAGCATAAATCATCCACGAAATCCAGGTCT